AACCTAGATTCGGCCGACCATATGTCATAGTGTTGTCTCTTATACACATCTAGATGTGTATAAGAGACAGCTCCCCACACTGTCCAAAGCATCCCCCCACCCCGCCTGCCCCCTTGCAATCGCGCTCAGGCGCGTTCAGTGAACGCACGTTCACTCCGTTCAAAAACTGAACGTGGAATGAGCGTTCAATGAACGCGCGGTAACATAGCGTACAAGGCTAGCGGTCAATTCCCAGACAGGGCCGCTCCTAGCCGCGAAATTGCCCAGGACCTTTACGAACAAGTCTACCGGAAAACCCTTCCTCAGGTAAACTATTTTCAAATAAGTCCATCAGCCTTCGCAGCTACCAAAGGAAGCAAAACATAGTTTTTTTACCGTAGCTACGTAACCAACGGTGAAAGTGATTCCCAACACTCTTCTAACCACTCTTCCCCATCTGATATTGAGATCCCGCTCGGTCTTTCCAATATACGCAGATTTACAGTAAGGAGAAATACCTACGTATACACTACCATTCCCAGAATCAAATCCATCTACCTGATTTAGACACCATGATTTCCAGTTCGCAAGAAATTTCTTACCCCAAGGTATGCAACCTTGCTCAGTCAAGGCGAATACAATCCATCTAAGGCTTGCTTCCAAATCTGGTCTAACACCTCCATGTTCTTTTTGTTTCCTTATCAACGCTCGACAGATACCCCAAAGGCGCTTAATCGGCCAATCTCTTCACGGGTCGCTGTCACTGTCTTCTTCCAACACGTCTGATGATGACGCCATTTCAGAGCCGCTCGAAGTAGAGGCAGCGGGAGTCGGGGCCGCTGCAGTCTTCCGATGACCGAAGGCTTTGGAACTGACATTTCGTTAAAACTGACATTTTTTTCTAAAAACACGAAATTGAAGTCCCTATTTTTTGTCCAAAACAAGGCATTTTTCACAAACATATGACATTTTTTATCCTATGGTACTATGCTGCACATGTGCAAATTTTATGTCTGTTTTGTTTGATTTTTTTCAATTTGCTCTTTTTTAGTGACTTGGTCATTAGTTTAACTTCGAAATCAGCCACGTTTTCGCAACTTTGCTTGTGTCTGCCGTTTTTGTGCCTTGTACTTGTTGTTATTATTTGATGTTTTGTTGCTTTTTTTCTCGTGCACATATCCATTTCAAGTGTACGGAGCACTTCATTCTTTGTTTTTTTACCACTGTGTACTTTTCCCTTCTTTTTTTTTGCGATAGTAGCTCATTTTATTCATTATTTCTATGTTTTTTCTTCCTAGCTTGTGTATTCTGTGCATTCGTTATTTCATTGTCATGTGCAGTGTAACATATATTTTTCAGGCATTTGCACTTGTCTGTTCATGTTTTGTGTGTTACTTGTGTGTTTTACTTCTCGCT